GAATTATAGATGGCATTAGGGTTGCAAGCATAAGTCCTAAGTCAAGGTAATCTTCTTACACACATCACTCCATATCACACTTGGTCTAGAACCTTAACCCTAAAGACTAAGAAGCATGTTACAAACTCTGAACAGAGACAAGCCGATGTGTACTCAGATCCTTATCAGAGAAACGACGTTGTCACTGATGGGATGGAGAATAGCTGTGTTCGTTTCATCAACAACATCTTCATTTCATATATGTCCAGACCAAGTGCACTTTTACAGTCTGAATAGATTTGGCCATTGACTATACGATACTGATTATTTGTTCATTCAGCAAGATGAAACTGAGTGCTAACAGACTCCTTCAAGAACTGAAATACAAATTCTGAAATTCTCTTTGACTCAGCTCAAAATCAAAATCTTATGCACCCTCGATATTCTACGACCAACGGAAGATAAACAAACCTGCAGTCCCATTAGGACCAACAGTGGATTTCACCAGTTCACCTCTCGAAATACTTATTTTCAATACTGAAAACACTGCGTAAGGACACTGAGAATGTTATAAAAGATTCATGTGGTTTCAAATCCCAAACAGAACACCGAGAAATTTATAAAGAATATATTATGGTAAGCTATGATATTAACTCATTATACACTAGTATTCCCACTACCGAAAGTCTTGATATCATTTCCAGTTTACTAGAATCAGACATAACCCTATCACAAAGCTGTACACTGGACACCAGTCAAATAATTAAGAGCTTAAAATTTTATCTGGAAGTAAATGTTCTGGATTTAAAGGCAATTTTTATAGACAGACAAATGGTATTGCTATGTGTTCACCAGTTTCCTCAATAGTCACTGATCTTTTTATGAATACATTTGAAGATAACATCTTTTCAAGCATCCTCACGCCTGAAATATGGCTGAGATACGTTGATGACGAGATCTACACAGTTCTTTCTTGGAAAAACTGAACAATCCACTCAACAGCATCCAGTTTACTTCGGAAGCAAAATCAGACTTCGCTGGACTACCGTTTTTACACTGCGTAGTTGAAGGGAAAACGGATATTGCAATACATATCCATATTCGGGAAGAAAACATGATCAAACGAATATTTAGACTGCGGGTTATCACACTCCATCAGCTCAAAGGTATCAGTTGTTTCAAGTCTCCTTAGACGAGTACACTCTTTGATGTTAATGGATGAGGAGGAATAGGAAGAAGAAATATCAAGCATCATTGAGATTCTCAAGAAAAATGACTACTCAGAGAACTTCATCAACAAAATCAACACCGACGTTAAATATGGTCGAAGACGTATTCCGAGGATTAGAACCTCAACAGTTGTCATTCCACATAGATCAGAAACGTCAGATGATATAAGAAGAGTACTCAATAAACACAACATAAGAGTTTTCTTCAAAACATCGAGATGAATATCCCTGCTGAAAATACTTTGCATCGACGGTGTTCAGCTGATGATGCACTTTCCCTGACGAGTATTACAATAAGTTTGTTAGAAGCATTTCTATTAAAATCAGTAGGTAGTTTTAAGTCCCGCTGATTTCCATGAAAACCTGGCAAGCAGTGGACAATATAGTCAGAAGTCATTCATCAACCACAATCAATTACACCAATACCATAATGAGTTTAGTTGTTTAGTAGCCAAAAAGGTTTGTGTATGTTAGCTAGTAGTCCAGCTGTATAATACTTCGTCTTACATATTAATAAGGCATGAAAATCTAGAAAGGATAAGAATGCAAATAACTGTAAGTATTTTGGGAATAATGGCAGTGCAGTCACAAGTTAATAAACTCGGGTACTCAGACACGACTGTAACACGGTCAAAGTTTTGGCGGGAGAGGCATCTTCATTTTTGCTTACTAAAATTGAAGTTCTGCAAGTATTTATATATTTTTGAAGTTAGAGTGCAGTCACATTTCAAATACCATCGTCAGCAAGATATTTATTCTCGTTCTGCGCCACAAGTCTCTTCTCTTTTCAGAGAATATTCTGTTAACCACACACAAAATGCTGGCTTCCCAGGCTCACCTTGAACAAAATATCACCAATAAAGGGTAATCCATTGTTTATGTAACCACAAATCACTTCCCTCTTTAGAAAAGATGTATTACTTGTGGTCAACATGGAACCACACTGTCTATTTTCAGCACTTGGTTGGCCAACGTGGTCTGTAGCAACGTAGCAAGTGGTCTGTTGTTTAGTGGAAGGTCTTGGGCATTTGTGGCCTTCTCCCCATTAGAGCGCGAGAAACTGCGGCACTCTTGATAACAACTTGTTTTTCTAGAAGGTAGAGTTTGGCGTCAAGTTGTGGTTATGAAGCACCTAGCTCCGGTCTCTTTCGTTGAGAAACAGGTGAAGCGTCATCTGGGGGAAGTAAAGTCCGAACACTGATGAATTTTTGGCGGGAAAGGTGCTGATTAAGAAAGGCGTCTGCAGCGACTTGCCGAGAATGACCGTTGTGAGTGCTTTGCGTGAGTGTGTGTACTGCTGGTTAAAACCGCTTTTGTTTCCGAGATTATTGCAGTCTTGGCACCAGTGTTGCTTATACAGACAAGATTTGAAGGAATGGAAAGCACCACAATACTAGTGGGATAAATGCGGTCTCGCCTTTGAGCATTGATCACCACTGAGTGAGTGACTAAAATGATGGACGTTTGAGATAAGACCAGGAGTTAAGAGAGCAGAGGCTGATGCAGAGGTTTTCAAAGGTCTGGTGAACTTCATTGATTTCAAGATCATCTTGGCGTTCAGACTGGGCTAAATAGGTTGTCTGGAAATACTGTCCAACCTGGTCCCCAAAATCCACCGAACCACCAACGCATCAAAACCATATAGTTAAATGTCTTCTTTATAAACTTTCCTCTCCCATTTTTGTATAGAAATACCCAATTCAAATATATACCTATTCCTTCTTTCACTTTTCATGCTCAACAAATGAGAACAAATACTACCAATATTTCAACATCCATCCAGCTGAACCTTGGTTGATCTTAGCTGAAATATGTTCCTGTGATAAAAGCCCCCATACAAGGTAATGCATTTTAATGAGACTTTGTTTGAATAGGATGGAAATTGTGACGTCGGTGTAAAGTGAAGTCTTAGTATATGTCCACTGAATTTCATCAGACAATTATAAATTCGTCTTCCAATCAACAAATGGTCCGCATCATTGGATATCTTGCGCATTCGAAAATCTGCCGACTCTTTCACATTACCTCATTTTTAGTAAATGGTGCACCAGTGGCCTGATTTTCTAAGATCTCTATAACTTAATAATACTGAAAGTCTGGTGAATAAAACACTGGACAGAAAATTAGGAAAATTGAGGAAATTCAATTCGATGAATAGTACAGCCTCTAAATACTTTGCTCAGACACCATTTAGTAACTAGTATCATGCGTCTAGTCCTGTATTTGGTGCAGACTAAGTTCTATCAGTCTGGTCTGCAGTGTGACCGCTATTCTAGGTGGCTTGCTATGACGCTACACTCTGAATTATTATTATTATTAGGTAGTTGAAGGCAATCGGCAGGTAACGTCTCTGAATGCAACACTAGGTGACACGGGTTCAAGCCTTGGAAAGGGCATGAGTTCTTTCGAAATCAAAGATACATCTTACTGACTGGTGAATGCCAACTAGCGAAAAAATCGAGGGCTAAGGCTTCCTGCTGACTGCATGGATTTAAAATAAGTTAGAGAACTATTAGAAATATTAATTCAGACATCTATAAAACACAAAATAATCGAGCAAAGAATATTCTTTTCGATAAATTCCTCTTCTGGCTCTACAGTTAAATATATGTTTATATATACAAAATATTCAAGATTGGTAGTTAATAACAATATTGGTGCTTTTTAAATAATATCGATTTGTAAAGTATGATCAATGCAATTACAGTTCACTAAAAATACTTAAATTATAATAGTAATAAGGATATAATACCGAATACAGTATCAACTAAAATTCGGAAATTTCCACAAAAATTGAGAATCATTCAAACCTAGATGGCCAAGGTAAGGACAGTGTCTAAACTAACTTCTTTTGGACGCACAAATTAGGCGAGAAGGTTGTTTTGTCCTACTTTGGGTCCCCTTAGCGGCATATACCCACCACCGAATTTCGAACCTGGACTATCCGGTTAAGAGGTGAGCTCGTTGACCATTCAGAGGCTAGACCCGATCGAATGGCCCATAAATTCCAACTTTTCGCAATTTGTGACGTTTTAGCACGACCACCAGACAACGTCACATGCGAGTAACTTTCGCCTTGCCCGACTTGGAGGACTCCGATGATTACCTCTTCTCGTTGGAACTAAAGGTGACTTCTTTTAAACAAGCAGTTGAAGTATATAACAAATGGTTCACGAGTTCGCCTCGTAACCCGAGCGTCCTGGGCATGTACTACTGAAGAGTCACAAACAAGGACGAAGCAGCTGTCCAGTACTACCAGCTGGTTTCAAGTGGTTCTCAGACTTATGTCATCTCGTGATGAAACTTGTAACCAGTCAAATCCCGGCAGTCTAATACCTGATAATTTAAAATCAAGTCACTAATGCCCAGGCTTCCGATGGCATGCATTGTTGATATCACTAAATACTTACTACAAAAATCTATTTGAAATTGTCAATTTTTTAGAATCATATTTTTCTTGTTATGTTTTTCAAAAAAAAAGGAATACATTAGATAAAATGGTATCGGCCACATAGTGTGCGGTGGGGAAAAATTATGCACACATTGTGTTTATTATTCTAGTCCAATCAGGTGTTGGGGTAGGGATTTGTTAATTTTTATCTGTATTGTCATAGTCAGCCTCAAACCAATCCCTTGTTTCGATGATGGGTGCTTGTGTGCTTACGCCAGTGTTTGTGCACTAGTGAGTAAACATACTAGCGATTATGTGTGTATGTGTGTATGCTTGTGTGCATTGCACATAATGTCTATGCACGAATTAGATGTATTTTACTCGAGTTATATATTGTGTACTAATGTTCAATCAGATTGCATTATCCATTATGATTATAACAATAAGTATACTTCTACACAAGGTCATTATATTAAAGAAGAAGAAGAATAATAATCCTAATAATATTCACACCATCCTTGACCCTAGTGTTTGTCTTCACAGTGGTGTTACACTTTGTATATATGCCCACAGTTAATTACCTGAAAAGATCACATTGGTGAGAGGAACACCTTCAGAACTGCTAATTTATCACTTCTCTCTCTCTCTCTGCGTGTGTACACACGATGGAAGAATACAGCTCTTGGATAGGAATTACACATGGGAAACTAATCTCCCGTCACAGCTAACAACAACTACGACATCAGTTAAAATAACCATCAGTTTATTCATTGCGTGTTACTAGGAAAAATAAACAATTAATGTTATGCAACCTTTTTGATGGTGAAAAACTTACCAGGCTACGAAGCATTCATTAATGAAAATCTACTAAATGTGGTATTTTGAAAAGCGATGTGCATTTTCTCACGTGGACTTTTGATTACAGTAATACAGTTGATCTATGCACGTGTAAAACTATACGCATTACTTCACTCTAATACCTTTTATTATTGCTACCTCAGAAATTCACTTAATCTACAAACTTTAAAATCCAAGAATCAGCATGATTTATGCACCGACATACTTCAGTGTAACGGATATACAATGTATCGACTCAGTGAACAAAACTATAAAGTAAGACAACGTGTTTATTCCCTTCCGACTGTTGCAAACAAATGTAACCTTTCAGTATTTCTCAGTGTAAAACCATGGCATAAATATCCAGTTTATATAAAAAATGTAATGCTTTTAATGTGTGGATTATATTTCTATGTATTTATCAGAAGTCTTCATTGTTATTTTAAGTTTACATCAGATAGAAGTGATCACTTGTCAAAGAACAGTCGTTATAGCGTCGACAGATCTCAGCGGTCACCTCTCCTAGGCCACAATAGAAGGCAACAGTCCAAAGAAACAATTAATGACATTCCACAGAGATGTTTTTTACCTCTTGTTAAGCTATCCCCATTGTATGCAGCATTTATTAACTGTGCTTATAAAAAAATTGACTGTTTCAGCAGTGAATTCAACTGCGCATGGAGTACAGTCACCTCGCTATCACCAGCAGCCTATTCATCATCATCATGCAGTCACCGAATACTTCTTATGAAAGTTGTTCATTCTGTTCTAAATAAATTTAAATGCATAACATTACTGCATCCGTATGAAACACTGAAGTCGATGCTGGTACACACCGAACATTGTATTGTAACCTCTGAAGTATTAAACAGCACACTAATCAATGGAATTCGCAAATTTTTTCGATTATACAATTATTGGAAATGTTTGTACAAGAAGTATTCAAGATTTCGAACAAAACGAAGGAGGCGGAGGTGGCGGCGAAGAAGAAGAAGAAGAACCAAATATGATCAAGTTTACCTGACTAATTCCACTAACTGTAATCATCAATGCTTCTCAATTCTTTCACAATTCTACTTATTATTTATGATTATCAATTCGGTTTTCTGTATATCTAAGTATTCAAAACAGAACAATCTTCCATTGTTAGTCAAAGATTTTGATGATTTGTCACTAAGTTTGAACAGTTCATCGCACGATATTATTCACAACACATATAATTATCAAGCACGTACTATTTATCACTTTAAGCCTCCAGACGAGAAACGACCGTGTCGATATCGTTTTCGTGATGACGCGGAGACTAGCGCACTATTGGCTGACTATGTTATTGTAGGTCAACCGGTTCAAACTTATCGTAGAAGATTTGGTCCATTATATAATGTTAGCCTGATGGTAACTCATATTCTTAAATCTGTACAGCACAGTATTTTCCCAGTTCGTGAAAATCATTTATTACGCGTTGGACAGTTTAGTATTTTTCCTGATCCCGGCCGGTGTTGGATTAATGTACACAGAAATAAAAAGTATATATTTTTCTTACAACAACCGGATTGGTCAGGATTTTGTAAAATAAGCCAATTACCACTTGAGTATACTAAACAAGCCTATCGAGCTGTAAAAGAAATCATGAGACTTGGAGGTAAGTACATCAAATGAACAGTGATTATTTAAATCTTCCTTTAATTATGTTGACTTTATTTATGTTCTTATGTTCGCTTTGCATGCACACCTTTTCCAGTTTCACGTATTTTCCGTGGTCTTTTCTTAATCTAAAAATCAATCTCAGCGCATCGACATAACAGTCATTTTGTTATAGGAATAGTCCTTACCTAAATAATCCAACAGTTTGGGCGTCACTGTGTCCTCTACATTCGACAGTCTGATTACGTAGCTTTCATTGTCCATTTGGACAATATCTTCAGTGCTAAATTCACAGGGAGATGGGTTGTGGTGAGCACTGAAAATGTCGTCTAGGAAGACATTGAAAGCTTCTCCAGTAAACCACCCAACGCAGTAACACTTAAAGTATCCACCTGAGTTATAATTCCTATCCATCATTCTAAAATAAACTTTTACCTGATCACTTTCATGCTTGTGACTGTTTTCGCATTGGCGGCCTAATCGCTTTCAATCTGTTCAGTACATGTTTCAATAAAATATAAAACATAATGAATGCACTTGAATGTTCTGTGTTTATCAAGCACTTAGCACTCGGCACCAAATGAAAAACAATCCGTAAATAATCCAAATGACTTTATTTTATTTTATTTGTACAGTTACTTATAAGTAGTCACGTGTTTGCTTTCTATCTTTTTATCAGTGTTTATTTCTATCGGGTCTATAGTGAAGGAAAGTGGCCACCGATAGTGAATTTAAAAGACATCTGTTATCTGTTTCAGTAAAACACCCAATATTATTATTAGTTTAACCTACGTGTATATCCGACTGATAAGGAGGCAGCATTTACGAAAAGGCAGTGAAGTTTTTTTTTTATTACAGCTTGATTCCACACCGTATTTTTGGTACTTGTATGGAATTTTCAGCATGGATATCGGTAACCCAAATTTCGCAGGTAGAACATAGGTATCAGGTGTGCGTCGGCAGGGAATCGAAACTCGGACCACGTGCATGGTCGGCGAGGACGCAAAGGATTTACTAACTGTTAGGTCAATAGGGAGATTTTTTAAAAATAATTTCGAAATACATATTAACGCCTATGGATAACTTGTGTAATGCATAAAACTCATTTTTCTACTGAATTTTGTGTGTATAGTTTTGAGACTAAAATGCTAACAAGTTTTCTATTCTAAAAACAACAGTTCTTTAAATCCCAGGGAAATACTTGATGGCCAATGATTAATGGTGACTATATCTTGTGTAAAAACGGTATTTAATGGTATTCATTGGAAGTGCTGAATTCTCCCTGTTGGTTGATTTCACCGGCTTGAAGTGCATGGTCTTCGTCAGTATAATCGAACAATTAACACCTAGTCTCAAGGCATGATCGAAAGGCCTGTACTAAAAGTTGACATGCCAAAAGAGACTGAAGATTTCAGCCTGACCACTGGGGGTTTCTCAAGTTTCAGTAAATTACCTTCATTAAAGAACTCACCAGATTTGAGCGTGCCTTGTTCCCAAACAATTAACTATCATAGCATATTACTTCTATGTTGCAGTTTAGCAGGAGAACTAAATGTGTAAAGTCAGGTAATTTCCTCAGAATGACATTTCATCAAAATCCGAAAATTTCGTTTTATCTTAAAATAGTACAGCTTAAATTATCACCATCAAAATCCTGAGAAATTCCTGTGTCATTGTACTCTGTCTTTTTCTGGATTAGGAAGTATTTGTACCAGTTGTAGTTGTGTATTTTTCATGATGCTTCTGGTGAATAGTAATAATAATGTGTTTATTCAATCAAAAACAGCACCTTTGTCATAAATGTGGAATTTTCAGCATGTTGTACAGTTTTGCACCTGATTTTCTCAACTCCAGGGTAACAGTTCAAACAGGACATCAACACTGATAGTATTGTTGATTAAGACGTTGAATACAATATTGAATTTAAGTGAAAATATTAACAACAACATCATAACAATGAAAGAAACAATGAAACAGGCTGTTTACTCACTCTCATTCGCTAAGTTATTGGTGTCATGCCTAACACTTTCCTCATCACATTCAAGTATGTGCTAAATAAGGTATTGTAGAGTTTTTGTGCTTAGTCGTTAAAGTATAAAGTCACCTATAGTTGCTTCTGCTTCTATCCGATGAGATACAGCAAGGAGAGCAGTGTGTATAAAGAGGATTCTCAGAGTCCGACAAGATAATATTAGCTAAATTCTTGCGTGAGTCCATGTGTCTATCTACAATAGTATTTACTATTTGATTTGGCGAAACACCACTCACTAGCCCCACTGACAGATTTCAGTACCCTTCACAGTGTAAGAAAGTCTTACTTAAGTAGCCTAGAAAAAATTAAGTGAGAGCAGTAGGGAAGGATAGGTAGAATACAAGAATTAACTAACTTAGAAAGTAGAAACTGAGTAATGTCAGACTGTCACAGTAAAATATGACGATTTTCATCAAGTGTACTGGTCACCTTTTTTATGGCTTGATTCAATACCGTATTTTTGGTACAAGTATGGAATTTTCAGCATGTGATATCAGTAGCCCAATTTTGCAGGCCGACCATTGATACTGGGTGTGCGTCGGGAGGGGATCGAACCCCGGACCATGTGCATGGTTGGCGAGAGTCCCAACCGCTGTGGCACGCTAAGTCTATCTATCAGACCTCTTTCGTTATCTAGTCAAAGTGTAACCTGTTATATTACTGATCCCAGTGATAAGTAACTCTGCTTCATGCCTTATAATCTTTAATGAACTGCATTGTCATTTCCTGTCACTCTGTTAGACAATTTTTAGTGTTCACCACATATGTATCGCCTTTAAGCGTAAGCTTCTTTCACTTTTCAAGTTTGATACCGACTCACTTTGGAAGTAGTAGTGTTTCATGGTCATCTAATCATTTTAATTGACTAAGTAAACATCGTGTAATTCTAGTGGACTGTTGGCAACAATAAAGTTGTGTGTGTGTGTGTGTGTGCGTTGGTCATTTTACACTTGCAAACAGTGTCATCATTGTTTTGCTCTCCTTTTACTGGTGTACAAATTTATAAGACAACTTGTATTCATCTCTGTGTTTATCCAGTTTAAATCAATAATTTACATTATTACTATACCAATATATTAAGATTGATTGCGCAGAATAATTTAATAGAAATATACAAGTGTGGCTGTTGTTCATTTTCAGTTAATATTATTATTATTGTTAGTTCTGATGTTGTCTTGTGTACTCTGTAGACAATTTTTCTGTTCTTTTTTTTTTGCTACACACCGGAATGTTCATCTTTGATCACTGCAATACTGGTCAACAAACAACACTATACGTCTCTAATTAGCTAAGTAAATCTGAACTACTATCCAGTTTACCTTCCACTAATCACCTAAAATCAATATTGCTTGTTTTGCAACCAGAATTTTGACAATGCACTTACACATTTGCAGAGGGAAAAAAGAAAAGTTATGCATGATACCATTATTTATGTACATGTTAGCACGCATGTATGGGATATACATGTATATGCTGCTTAACCGTGCTGAAATAGTCATCTTAGTTTAAAAGTAACTGTTCATTTGTAGCCTACCTCGTGTCACAGCGGCTTTCTCTTCACCAAAACAAACTCTGATGGCTAAAAAACCTCGTTGGTATGTGGCCTGTTAAAATGAAGGTCAGCTGAAACGAGTAACATTTAGACGGGAATTCTAGTTGTTCTGTCTTTCCCCGACTTTTGTACGCATATCAGCTAGTGCTGTTTTATTCACTTTACATGAAGTAAATCATACTGTGGTGTGCAGAAATACGCAAAACTATGTTTTTTGAATTGTTTTGTAAAAGGCCTCAATGAACTTATTCTCAAAAGATTTCTTATAAAATATATATGACAGACTGAGCAGAATTTTCATAGTATAATGGCAAAACGCAAAAGTATTTGGCAGCGGAATTATTTAATTTACGTCGGTGGCACAGCGGTTAGGATTCTCGCCGGCCATGCACATGGTCCGGGGTTCGATCTCCTGCCGACACACACCTGATATCAATGGTCGGCCTGCTAAATTTGGGCTACCGATATCACATGCTAAAAATTCCATACTTCTACCGATAATACAGTGTGGAATCAAGCTGTAATAAAAAAAAATATGTCATCTGTGTATTAAAATCACAATTTCTACAAATCTTTCGTATTGTACTTCTTTGTCTTCGTTTCATGTTTTCCATGCTGTTTCACAAGTATCGTTCACATTTCACCTCGTGCCCGTTAAATCCATCTCGCCAGTATTCTATAGTCTTGCTTATGATATGCATATTTACAACTGTATCTACACAATACTTATAAATCTTGTCAGTAACACTCACCACGTTAGCATTCCCAGTGACCTATAAAGTAGTGTACAGAATAAAATCTAATTCATATGCTTGTGAATTTCTTTTAAAACGACAAGCTGTTAAAGTAGATATACTCTGGAAATTGTCACTCAACAAATGGATTTGACATTTTCAGAGGTAATATCTAATTTTGTTTCTCCATGGATATATATAAGTCATTTCGTGCCTTATTTCATTAAAGACATCCTTAAAAACATGATCGATTAGGACTTTTACTGCTGTCCTAGAGATTACCTTCAGTTGACAGCTCACATATTGACAGATATTTAACATCAGACAATTTACTAAGTTTATATGTAAGAGTCAATCTTAATGATAACAGACTCATCAAGTTTTTTTATAGTTTTTAATTATTTTATGTCAACAGTCAAGACAGAAGTCTTGTACTTAGCGCGTCAATTAAGTAGTTATTCAAACAATGGACAGTGCTAATTTTAGGCGGGAAATTGAGTGTGTTTTAGAAAGTGGTTTATTGAACAGACTATAAAATACTGTATAACGGAAAAAGTCATAAATCTAGTATGAATTTTTGGAATGACTTCTTTTAACTTTTTGGTAAATACTCAAACTACTTGCCTTTTAGTACAAAATTTTTTCAAGTTTCCAGTCAAATGCTGTCTATTACAAAACAA